CAATTTACATACATTATGGTCACTTTTAGTGTTGTAATGTTCTATGGCTTTTGACAAATGCATAATGTCATGTATCCACCATTACAGTTTCAGAGTGCCCCAAATCCCCTGTGCTTAACCTGTTCTTCCCTTTCCCCAAAACCCTGGAAACCACTAATCTTTTTACTGTCTCTTTGTTTTACTTTATTCCAGAATATTATATAACTAGTAGCCCTGCGCACAAATCCGTGCTCCAGTAGGTGGCTGCCACCCTCCTGTAGCTCTCTGCCTGCTGCCCCGCCCTCCTGTAGCTCCCCCGCCTCCCCACATAGCTTGTTGCCCTGCCCACTTCTGTAGCTCTCCACCTCCCACTTGCTTGCTGCCCCGCCCCACCCTGTAGATCTCCGCAGCCTGCTTTTATCTCGCTGGCCCACCCTCCTGCTGATCCGTGATCTGGTCGTGATGTGTTTGGTCGTTATACCTCAGGGCGTAATGACTAATTAGCATATTCCCCTCTGATTATATAGGATAACACTAACATGTATATCTTATGAGATTTTAAAAAAATATATTAATAGGTAGAAAAAACGTAATGTTTGTTAAAGCAGAAAAGAATGAAAAGATCTTTTTGAAAAAGTTTTCTAAGGAATTACTCAAAAATTTATTTTAGTGTTTTAAAATTCATAGTCTCAAAAAAAATATTTTAAATCCCAAACTGAACATTTACTTTATATCAAATTCCAGCGTTACTATCAAGTCAGTATACACACAAACCTTTTTCAGGTAGAAGAGTCTTAGCCAACATATTCCCAAGGTAGTACTCGTGAATATTTACTTTCTATATTTAAAAATAAAATAAAAATATGAGTATTTTGCAAATATATTTTTCAAAAATACAAACTTAAAACTGTTAATCTCATTACTAGAGTTCTCCTTTTATAATGTTCCATACTTTCTATTTTCTTTTTAAGGTTTTTAAATTGATTTTTAAAGAGAGAAAGGAAGGGAGAAGGGGAGGGTAAGAGAGAGAAACATTGATTTGGCTGCCTCCTGCACACCCCCTACCTGGGATTAAGCCCAAAACCAGGGCATGTGCCCTGATCCGGAATCTATTCGGCAATCTTTGGTGCATGGGACGATGCCCGACCAACTGAGCCACACCTGCCAGGGCATCCTTGGTATTTTGAAGGAAAACATACCTGACCACTTTCTTTCTCTTCATGGTACTGCCGAATATGTTTTCCATGACATACTTCATAAGTCCAATAAGACTCAATCTAAGAAAGAAGGATGTATTTAAATACATAAAACCTGCATAACTCAATTAAGTTACTTTTTGATACTTAAGGTTGATAAGATTTCCCCCAAGATTTAGAGTAAGCTTTCATTAAATGAAACTTACTATTATGCCTCAGGAAAAAAATGAAATTTCTGAAGTCTATTCATCGTTTTCACTAATTAGCTATCTGTGAAAATTCTGTGAAGAAAATAGCTATAGAATAGCCACCAGGCTTAGGGATCATTTTTCCATGTAGCTTACAAGATAATTATTAATATTTTTAGTTAAAATTGTATATAAGGAAAATTTCTTTTGATCTGAAAAACATTCAAAACTGGTAAGTGATATTATTTGATATTGGTATTATTGGGTGTTTGCTACATACACTATATGGAATTTAAATGAACAAAACACTATTAAGCAATAGCTTAGATTTACATTTAAAAATTTGATACAACATAAAAGAAATGCAGAATTATATTCAAGGGCCTATTAGCCGCTGAAAATTTATTTTCTAGTTATCAAGTGAACATAAAATACATACTCTGTAGGAACAACTGCTTTGTTTAAATAGTGGCTCCAGTAGCTCTCTTGGATTAGGACCTTTATAATCCTTTTCTTCTTCCTATGAAAGAACTAGAGTTTAATACTTATAATTATTCTAGAACTTCACCCAACTCTACTGTTGGTTGTTAACTCATTGGTCAAACCACAAATGCTTGGAAATAAAAAGGAAAAAAAAGTCAAATTCTATATCATAAAAGCCTAATATGCTAAGTGTCTGGTCATCAGTTCAACCCATTAAAGAGTAATATGCTAATGATATGCTAAGGCCACTCAACCGTTTACTATGACATGCACTGACCACCAGGGGGCAGACGCTCTGACCAGTAGGTTAGCTTGCTGCTGGGGTAAGAATGTCAGAGAGCTGGTTTTGGCCCAATCCCGTAGGCCACGCTGAGGGATCCCCACTGGTGCATAAATTCTTGCACTGGGCATCTAGTCCTTTAATAATAAACTATGGTATAGCACTTCTTTCAAAAGAATTGAAGTATAAAATATGGAGCCATAGAATAATCTTCCATTCTTTCTTCTCTTAAGAAAAGGTTTCTGAGTTTCAATTTCCTGAACAATTCTTATAGACTATTTCAGAATTTTTAAATGATTTTGCCCAAATTCTAGCTATAAAAGCCTCAGAATAGTTGAATCTTGTTGAATATATTGAAAAATTTTAAGGTACTTCTTAGTTTTCTAGGTATTTTTACACTTCAGATTTGAATGCCAAATATATACATATGTGTATGATTGTGTGTGGGTGGTTTGTGTCTTCAGTAGGTTTAAAACAAAATTAAACAGCTGTTACAGATTTCAAATCTGAACAAAACTAAGAAGCACTCACTGAGTTTAATATTTCCATTTCACAGATCATGAAAATATTACAAAATTAGCTCAATAAATTTATTGAGTGGAAGAACTGAGTTTCAGATTTTTTCAAGGTTTCATAGCTAACTATAGCCTCTACCTCAGCCTCCTGGCTCCTAGGCTGATGTCCTTTCCATTTTACCATGCTGCCTCTCCTGTTTCATCTTGAAAGAAGTCATTGCCTTAAAGGATGGATAAGAGGCAGTTAGTCAGGGCATTTTAGGAGGAAGAAATGGGCATGAGCTAAGGCAGTGAAAAAGCATAAGGTGCCTAGAGATTTATTAGCAATTCTTTATTAAAAATGTCACATATATATTTAAAAATTATATCTTGTTACAAAACCTTCATTTCTATAAAGGAAAGTAAGAATGGAGTTAGATTTTTATTCAAAACATCAATAATTGGTGGCTAACTTTTTCCAAGTTGAACTATAAAATCAAAGACTTCAGGATAATAGAAGTGACTATTATTACAAAACATGATTATTGAAAACCTGTCATTCAATTTTATTTTAAAGAATGAAGTTGCAATGTTTTAAAATATCTTTGGTGACAGGGATTATCAATATACTTATAAAAACATACCTCATCCCCACCTGTCACAAGAGGAAGAATGCATTTATATTTTTCTTTTTGTGTAGTTGTCATGATGACATAATTATCTTCTTTATACAAAACTCCAGTTGTGGGCTAGACAGAGAACAAAAAATACATATTACTTTCTCTGGTTAAATTGCATTACACTGATAACTTACAGTCCTCAGTCAAACTTATTCATCACTTCAACAGAGGATTTTAAAACATATCTCCAAAGGAAAAGGGAAAAGATTATATGTATTTTTAAAAAACAAAATGAAGATGACACACTTTATCCTGGTGTTACAATATAACAGAAAACTATAAACAAAACGAAAGTTTGAAATATAAAGAAAGAAGTAGTAATGCAACAAATTGAAGTTAAAATATGGGTTAAAAATATTAAGAGGCAATGTTCACAGTTGTTACTTCTACTAACAATTACCACCTTTATGTAGGAATCTACAGCACTTTATAAAGGTGCTTGCAATTGTGTTGGATGGGACACTTGAACAAGATATAGTACCGTATTTTTCACATTTGGATACTGCACAGATAAATTACTTCTAAAAGAAAAAATCACCATAGGTCATTTGTGCTGACTTAACTTTTTTTAAAGTATATATCATGGGTCAGCAAATCTTTTCTATAAAGGGCCAGATAGTAAATATTTTAGGCTTTGTGGGCTGTATGGTCTCTGTGTAACTACTTAACTATGCCACTGTAGTAAGAAAGTACATAGGCAATATATAAGCAAATAGGAATGACTATGTTATAAAAAAATTTTATTTACAAAAACAAGTGGTGGGCAAGCACAAAGGTGTTATTTACCAACTCCTGATATATATCAACAAAACTATCCCTAAATCTTTCTATATTATGAAGCAAAACAAATTCACAAATCAAATATGAACCAATGTAATTCAAATGAACATTTCATTAATAACTGATATTATTTTAAAAAAATCTTCGTGATAGCAAATGTGTCACTAACTACTAAGGCAGAGATTTCACGGTCTATAATATGTGTTCTATGATAATTCAATTCTCTCGTATCTTTTCTCTTCTTACAGTACTATGAAACCACTATACTATTTGGCTATACTATTAAGTACCTTTGTTCTTTTCTCAATTTAACAAAAACAATGTTTAACCATAATAAAACCAGTACTACTTGACACCAATGTCATCTTAAACACAAATGCAAATTAGGGCAATGTTTTCCCAATAAATCAAAATGAAAAAATAGCAATAAAAATAAGCTGTATTAGCTACATGAAAGTACAATTTTAAGTCCTTTACAGTTATTAACTCCTTGCTCCTCAAAACAAGTGTTCTATCCATCTTACAGAAAAGGAAACGGAAGTCCAGAGTTTAAATAACTTGTCCAAGGTAACACAGCTTGTAAGTACAGTTTCCATATTCTGTGCTCTTAACTGTTTTAATGTATTTCAATCGGCTTTTGTTAACATTTTCTTAGATTACTATATAGATTCCTGGTTTATGGTCAAGGATCTTTTTTTAAAAAAATTAAATTTATTGGAGTGACATTGGTTTATAGGATCATATAGGTTTCAAGTGTACATTTCTATGACACATGATCTGTATATTGACTTGTGTGCCCACCACCCAAAGTCAAATCATTTTCTGTCACCACATATTTGGCCCCTTTTACCTTTTACTACCCCCTGTCCCAGGATCCTTTTAAAAAAGATTATTATAAGAGGGGAATAAAAAAGATTTTTTTTATTAAAAGTTAGAGTTGCAAAGTCAAATTTACACTAATGGAATACTTAGAAACACTTGTTTAGTTGAGCCAACAAACTGCTGTAGCATAATGCCTCTCAATGTTTTACAATATTCAGTATACGTACATGATAGTGAGTTCTTCAAACATGACTCACATTTCTTAACAATGGATGGTCTGAATTATTGTAAAATCATTGCTGTACTGTAATGAAGGCAGATATTAGCACATACATGTATTGGCCTTTATTTGTGAAGTATCTGCAGCTCTAATGCTCAGAGTTGAATTCTATAGCAATATCGACTTATTTGCTGACATGTTCACCACAATGCTAACAATGGAAAAAGGAACTGTTTGCCGGGTGGTGCGGCTCAGTGGATTGAGCATCGCCCCTTGCAGCAAGAGGTCACCTGTTCCATTCCCAATGGGGCACCTGCCCAGGTTTCAGGCTCAATCCCCAGTAGAGGGCCTATAAGAGGCAACCAATCGATGTTTCTCTCTGATGGACTTTTCCATTCCTCTCTCCCTCTCCCTTTCTCTCTCTGAAATCAGTAAAAAACAACAAACAAACCCCCAAAACTCATTTCTCTGCTTTTTGTTTTCAAGGTCTAGGGAAGGGGTAACAAGAAATAGAAGCCATCACTATTTTGTGTGAAGATGCAAAGATCTGTCTTTCATTAGCTCAGGAAGGGCTGCTTTCCTCGTCAATAAAACAGACCCACAAGAAATTGTTCTATCTGAAAATTCTTCACTGAACAGAGAGTCACTTAATGGGATGATAAAGAAAAATTTGTAACAAACTTTACCCTTCTTTTGTGTAATGGAAATTACTTGGAAAAAGTAACATCTTAAAAACTTTTGTGATTTTCTAAGTTAAAATTTTTTTTCCGATCTACTGCTAAAATGCTTTCTTCTGATTTTATGAAATAGGCTCTTAATTTAAGAAAATAAAATAAATTCTGCATGTACATAATTACAGATGGTGTAAAAACTTGTTTTATGTAAATTAAACCTTAAAGTATTTTCACTGTAACAGGTAATATTAGTGACTTGATAAATATCAGATTTTAATATAATGACACCAAACAAAGGGGCTTGGTACTTTAAGGTTAAAGAACTTTACAGATATCTAGACAGGGGAGAAATCCCTAATGTTTGACATGAGTCTGGAGGAATTAAGATAGAGAATGAGAGACAAAACTATCCGAAAGGCTGTAAAATAAAGTCAGTGGTCCAACTTGTCAACATATATAACATGCTCGGAACACCCATGGAGTAGGTCACCACTCTTCCAAAGTGCAGTGTTTGAGGAAAGTTTTTGAGTGGGAATACATTTCTATATTGACAACAGACGTAGAGAAAATTAGACTTATTTTGTAGTTTTATTTTAAAATCCATGAACTCCGTGAAATAATGAATACTGACCTAGAAGTGATATTTTAATGACCTAGAAGTGATATTTCAGAAGGAAAATATATACACAGACAAAATTTAATGCTAAAAACCAGTAAAGACTATCATAATTAATTAATGTAAACATTTTAAAATTTACCAATTTTTGGTGCTTAATACTTTTTCCAAATAAATTTGGAAGCAACATTGTAATGATTATGTATTTCTTGATGTATATGAATGGGACGATGATTTAAAGCACAAAATACTTTTAGACCTAAAAGGAATCCAGATCTAATCCAGTCCCTTCCAATTTTAGATGGCAGAGAGATAAAGGTCCTCTCCCTACTTCTTGCAGCTGCTTAGTTTTACACAAATGTCCAACCAACTGACCCATAAAAAAACAAACGACAGTGCCAAGTGAGAAGAGCTGCAGTTTCAATTACATAAAGTAGGAAAGGGAAGCCTTAAGACTATAAAAATAGTTTTTTAAAAAAATCAAAAAACCAATGATGTTTGTTGGGGCTTATTTTTGCCTGAGGGCTACAGACCTTTTGCCAACTCATAAAAAATGTTATCTAGATTTTTCTGAAAGTAACTCAAACTTAAAAAAGAAAAAGTAAGTCTCCCCAAATCTTCAACTGTCCCCATCTTAGATTATGCATTGCCAAAGAAAAGTAATTAAAAACAAAATTTCAAAATAAAATTGATAGATATGTGAAAGGTTGGTATAGCATTTCCTCTTTTTAGCTAGTAAACAGCAGTGCCGGAAAAAAACCTGAATAATAACTGGGTAGTCACCTCTAAAAAGGCTAATTTAAATCATCCACTTCTAGGTTGGTGAGTTTGGTAGGGCCATATATCGGCATGAGTTTTTAAATTAAAGAAAAAAACACACACAACAACACAGGTGCAAGAGTAAAACATTTTAATGACCAAATTTTTTAAACATCTGTCCTGTTCATTCCACGTGTGCTGTCTGGAAGCAATCACCCCAACCCTGCTAAAGTTATATCTGACTCACAGCTGGTATATATTATCAATACAGGGTGAGGCAAAGTGGGTTTATAGTTGTTCCTATGGCAAGGACTACAACGATTAATAATTATACCAGAATAAACTCTGTTTTGTGTACTCACAACTGTAAATCTACTTTTGCCCCGCCCTGTATTTCATGGCATTAACCCAAAGATAAACCTGTCTTCCCAGAGAAATATTTACTTAGATAAATCTGAACTGCCAGAATAAGAGAACTGAAAACCGGGGGGAGGGTGGGGTGGAGAAATACAGCAGGTGTGAAGTATTAGCAAAAACGAACATTTGCAAATAGAAACTGGTTGCGGCAAGGATGACATCCCTTTTCCTGGTACATCTTGTTTCAATGAAATAGCAACAGAGCAATATACTAAGATAGTTCCCCAAGTGGAATGACTATAGGTAATTGGCATAAAAATTTTTTTAAAAAGTTTTCCATTTCCAAGGGTTTCAGTTTGAAACAAATCCATCACTACAGGCTACGTATCAGATACGCACCATTTTCATTGGCTGACAGGGGGGAGGAAGCCTTTTCAGCAATCGACTCCCCGAGGGGAAGGACCGCAGAATTTCATTACGGTGAGGTTATATGGATGTTCATTATTGGAAAACTCATCATAAAAATCTCACGTTCTGGGATCGTCATGAACAGCCAGTCGTAATGCATCAAAACTGTAAAGGATATTCTACACTGAGCATCGTGAACATCTCCGGCCAAAGAGCCATCTCAAACACAGCTCTGAAGGGAGACGAGCTGGGCACAGACGGACGTGTGCGCATAAGAGAGAGAAGAACGAAGATGAATGAGAGGGGGGACTCCTCTCGGCGGGAACAGGGGTGTGTGGGCAGGGCGGTGTGCAACAGCTGCAGTGACTTTCCAAAGAGAAGGGAGAGCGCTCGCCTGCCGTGGTCGTAGGAAGCCCTCCTCCCCGGGGAGGGAGCGTGGGTAAAGCAAGTCTAGTGCGACAGATCCAAACAGTGATCAGCTGGCCGCTGGGTCCCCAGGGCTCAGCCTGGGGGCACCTCCACATCCCGTGTTCGGGAAACACTTGCGGTCTAGATGAATGAATGAACAGACGCGGGGCGCACCGAGTTTTGGAGGGGGGAGGAGGCACGCGCCTGCACCGGTGGTTCTAGGAGAAACAAGCGCAGAAGACCGAGCGAAGGGGCCGAACCCTGAACGCCGGGGGGAAGCGAGATGGCTACGGACTCGCGAGGGCACTGACCAGAGAGAACTCGGTGCCGGGCCAGTTGACTCGGAAAGGGATGTCATCGCTGAGTTGGGGGAGCGCTCGGGCGCCGCCGGACGCCTCTAGGAGGCCGCAGAGGACCAAGAGCACCGGTCCGCCCGGGCCCAGACTCC